AAATGAGGGACGGCTAGCGCAGATAGCCCTCGTGTAGCTTTGCGCGAAATTCAAAAACAAAACAAACAAAATAAACGTACGCAATCTCGAAAAGGAGCGGCGGGTGTGTGTGTGTGTAAAATCTGTCTGATTGATCTTGTTTTCCTATCGTTAATATTCTAACCGTTTTCGTTTCCTCAACCTGAATTGCACTTTCTGTGCACATGGGCTGAATTGCAAGGTCAGAGACCCCTAGATTTACTGTATAGCCTTACTGACCAGAAGGAAAAGCATCCAGCCAGCAACAACCGCTGTCACAGAGGCTTTGAATCAGAATTGACTGTTATTCTTATAATCATGAGCTAAGCGAACGTTGGACTTTTCCTCCACAGCCTACCTAACCACTAGTCTAGGCTCTAATTTAAATTAAGTTGAAAGCAAAGATACTTGAATCATCAGAAAAGGTGATAATAAAACAGGAATAATGGGGATCAGGGTTTCATTCACAGCATGAAGAGCGGGGATCACGATTTTATTCATATCAGAAAGAGTGGGGATCACCGTTTTATTCATAACAAGATGAGTGGGTATCACGTTTTATTCATAACAAGATGAGTGGGTATCACAGTTTTATTCATAACAAGATGAGTGGGGATCACCGTATTATTCATAACAGGATGAGTGGGGATCACCGTTTTATTCATAACAAGATGAGTGGGTATCACCGTTTTATTCATAACAGGAAGAGTGGGGATCACCGTTTTATTCATAACAGGATGAGTGGGTATCACGGTTTTATCCATATCAGGAAGAGTCGGGATCACCGTTTTATTCATAAGAAATAATTTTAAATAAAACACAATTTGTCCAATTAATAATGAAAAACTTATAGGGACCGTATACATATATATATATATACATTGCGTTGATAAATTCATAAACTGTTTCAGAATGAATATAAGCACGTTTTATTGTGTTTTCTTTAGTAATATGTTTTTTCAATCTGTGTTCAAAAACGTTTCGTTCACTTTAAAAATTTTATTGAATAGTGGTATCTAATACGATACGCTACAAAAACTACACAACATAACCAAAATTTAACTGTGATACGGAATAAATTTTAAAACGAACAGTAAAACTCGACTAATAACCTGCTGACTCTTACCTTACCTTTCATAAAGCTGGAATATAATATCGTCTAGATATAACTTCTCTCATATAAGCCATTATTTGCCTTTGAAATAAAGCTTTCGTTAGATAAACAACTCATCATCTGGTTGTCGAAATCCATCTTTCGTGAACGCAAAGGAAAACACATTTAGATTAAATACAAATACTAATAATAGCAAATAAAGTATAATTAACTGTACTATGTACAAAAATGTCTAGAATATCTTTTTAACAAATAATTCCAATGCACAAAAAAATGGAACCTTTCATGTGTCTTACAAATCTCGAGCACATGAACCAATTCACACTAAACACACTGATGAAACACGACAAATATTGAACCAGAAAATAATAAAGAGTAACTCGCTGTACAAAACCTCAAGTAAACAATGATACATTCTTAAACTCCACACAGTAATTGTTTTTTCCCCTTTATATTTGATGAGTATGATGGACTCTTCAGAAAAAAAAACATTCACTTGCTTAAAAATACAACTATATTATAAGTTTATACATGTTTTAACTCAACGTTCTACTTTGAAAAAGTTTGCCTTATATATATATATTTATATGTATAATATATACAACATTTTCTATAAGAGGCACTATATTAGAAATCAACTTCGTTCGTGTTAATGGTTGTAATGTAACATTAGAACACTATGTGATTCAAGGCACTTTCATTATCAGCGCTAATTTTGATCTCATTCTAAAAATTGGTAAAAAAAAAGAAGCTTATTCTCACAGATGAGATTAATCTTACCTTCACAAAGTTTAAAGTATCTTACATATACATAGATAGATATATGCATACCGGTATAATGAGTCTCGTCTCACGTTTTATATCAATATATGATTATTTTTCTTAATTTCCAAGGTTACACGATCAAGCAGAATGTTTTTGTGCGAAACAGTTCGTGTTATAAGTAATTTCTAAAGTTTTATTATGACATTTTACTATGGTGAGCCTGTCGTTAAAAATAAACTGGAAGAGCTTTGAATTTTTGTTGTTGTTGTTGTTCAGTGAAGGTTTGTGCAACTGTCTTTGACACGTGAATATTACTTTTCTTGCAAATTGTTTTTTTTTAAACAACACTATTTCTGCCCCTAGTGGCTCAGCGGTAAGTCTGTCGGCTTATAACGCTAGAAACCGGGTTTTCGTACTCGTGGTGAGAACAGCACAGATAGCCCATTGTATAGTTTTGTGCTTAACAACAAACAAACAGTCTTCCTAGAAAATTAAAGCCTTTAATCGAAGTTAAGCCTCGTTTAATTAACTATTTTAATGAAGGAGAGTTAGTGTTCGTCTACTTTATTTGTCGATAAAACAAAAAAAAAAAAAGCTATGAGGTTATTATTGTTTTCTATTGGTTTACGAGTTACTTAAGAGTGGTTCATTCGGTTTTCGGTTATCAAATGCATTTCACAGTTGAGAATTTCTCATATAAGATCAGTACTACATATGTTAGTTGGTACAGTATCCAGAAAGAATTAACCGCAACTTGGTGAGTTCCTATATTTTTCTAATTTGGTAAAATCCCGAAATGAAAAGAGTTCTGTTTCATCTACCTAATTTTTCCAAGTCTTTTTTCGCAGTATCGCAATAACTAGAATAAAATTCATTTAGATAACTTCACAAGATGTTGGTTCTCACATCCTAACTAATTATTCTTCCAGTACTCCATCTGGAACTTTAATTACTTTTGACTTTGTACGTACTTTTCCAGGCGTCCGTTAAAGCCGATGAAGAGTGGAATCTGTAAAATATCATAAGCGGCATCAAAACGGCACAAATAAAACCCCAAGCCTTGTTGCCGTAGAAGTCGAGTTGCAATTGGCTAGTGACGTAGTTATGTGCCGTAAAAGTCTCCATTAACCAAAGACCCAAGTTACAGAACACCAGAAACGTTACCACCTGTCGTCCAGGACGAGCATTCTGCAAGGCTTCGTCGTAGTCACAGGACCTTCGAAGAACTTTATGAATGAACAACATCTGCAGGAACGATTGAATTACCATCAGCGCACCATCAATAAACAGTACCATGTGTTTTATGCTTTGAAGTTCCATGCCTCCTACAACCATTCCAAAAAGGCCGTACCCATAAACAGCAAGAACACCAATATGCTGCAAAAGGCCATTCAACTTGCGAACCCTTCGGGTTTGTCTGTTGAGGTGCCGAATTCGAAATAGTCCAATCAGCACAGCAATAGTCGAAGTTCCGAGAATACTGGCATGAAGAACAACCAAAGCAAACAGCGTGTCAAAGTTCAGGGTGTTTTGACCTTTCAGAACAAAGAAGAGAATTACCACTATTATCCCAGCAACAAGAACTAGAAGTCCCAACAGTAGGCCTTTGCTGGCTCCTTGACAATCCATCGTAAAATGGGGCCTTTGTTTAGTCTTCTCGGTGTTTTCGCTTTCATATTCAGAAATACCAGATTTCTTGCGACGTCTACTAAACTTGTCGATGTTCTGCCACAGAAAGTAAGCCATTACGGTACCGATCAAACTGTATTGAATAATGAAGGCGTACAAAAATGGCGCAGATTTTTCCCAAATTGAACCAATTGTGGAATTGTGAAGACAGCGACTTAATGCCATCATGGGTTCCATTTCATTGTTGATTTCTTTCTTCCAACGACAATGGCGAGTAACTGAAGGAAAACAAACAAAAAAAAACGAATAATTCTGAAAATCAGCCATTTTAAATGTTTATCGAATTTGTGTTCAGCCAACTATTTTAAAGAAAAATGAGTGTGAAATGAATGAAGAGTAGCCATCGTTTAAGAAATAAAAGAAAATACTTAACGTTAACCAATATGAAAGTTACTGAATTTAAATCAACAAAACTTTACGGAATCAATAAACAAACACGTATATTTTGTTGTCTTAAAAGGCTATCATGGAACAATGACAACACATAAAAATTTCTTATAGAAATACTTAAAGAGCATTTTTTTTCTTCGACTGATTAATTTAAAAAAAAACACTCGTCTTACACATTACAGCGGGAAACGCAACTTGACAGAAACACAAGTATGTGGTTGGCACGTGACCATTAGCTTACGTTATTATATAAATACCGAGACCTTCAGAGAGCTACAACTTCTGAATTTTGTCAGTATAAGTGTAATCTCGTGGGATGACGATAATTGTATTTGCTGCCGATAAAAGCTGGGTTAAGAATTGCAAATATATTATTTGAACACAACTTTAAAAAACAGAAAAAACGTAGGTGACATAGTTTGTATTTTACTTACTAGATGGCACAACAGATGCTGCAAGAGCAGACTAGAGGATTTAATAGTACAGAAAAGTTGCTTCTTATTATCGGGTACCAATTTGACTTCATTTAGAATTAGTTTTAAATTATAGGTTAAGTGTAACAGTTAAAATTTAAATATATAGATGTAATTCTAAAAAATTAATCCCACAAAAACAAAAAAACAACGTAAAATGTGATTTTGTTTCAGTTATTTGTGAACACCACTTTCGGATGCTGAAATTATACAATATATATATATTAAAAACGAGAACAAATATTTAATTTAAACATAATTATGCATTTAAAAGTATGGCTATGAAATGACAAAGTTATCAATATGCAAATTTTAACTCATTAATTATTAACCGTACTTAATATTCTAACTTGAATACGCTTAACTTCATGCATTTCATAACATTTAATAGAGAATAACACGTTGTGTTATTTCGCTTACAGAAAACACCATGTTCTCCTTTTTCATTAAATGTGTGGACAGTCATGTTATGATCATCCAACGGCCAAGCTTTTTCAGAACTAATAATCACGTGGTCCAAGCTTCCCCAGTCACGTGTCACTTCCCATATGACTTGTCGTATCCATACAGCTACATTGGTTGCTAGGAGATGCATAAAAGCGAAGTGTCGAAACCATCCCAAAGACTGAATAAGGTCCTAAAATTGTAAATATATTTATGTATATTATCTGCTGTAAAATTGGTGGTAATCCATTGTATTGGAGTCCATATAGATCTGTAACACGTGCTCTAATAAAACTATAGATCGGAAAGATAAATGTTTTAGATATATTTTCAAAATCCATTATTAACGCTAAGTCTATCGATATAAAAGGTTTTGATGTTGTTGTTCTTGCTGAGTTCTTTTCACTTAGGTTGGAAATGGCCCGAGCGGGGCCAAGAGAATGGCTTACCTGGACTCGGACTCTGAATTCGATGGTTCTAAATTTGCCCCCTCCCAAAAAAAAACGCTCTCATTTGGTGAGCCGTGGCTACTGCCACATCCCACTATTCAGTCAAACAAGAGTAACCCAACAGTTGGCGGTACGTGCTGTTAACTAGCTTCCCTCAAAATTACGGATAGCTATGCGCAGACAACCTTCTGCGCGAAAATTCTGAAACAAACACAATTTAGAGTCGTCATTGTTTTGATACTCACTCAAAGAAAATATCGCCATGACAGATGTTTTCTCACATTTCATCGTGATTCTCTTGTTATCAAAATGGCTTCGACCTGCGCTAATCATCAAGCAGTTTTACGAAAGGTAGCTAACTCTTACTCTTATTTTAACTGTGATAGCATTAAAACGTAATTATTGTAAATATTATATCTTGTTGATTGTTTGTTTGTAATTAAGCACAAAGCTACACAATGAGTTATCTGTGCTCTGCCCAACACGAGTATCGAAACCCGGATTCTAGCGTTGTAAGTCTGCAGACATACCGCTGTGCCACTGGGGGGCATATCCTGTTGAAAACGTTACGAAATAATCATTTCGAGGCTAGACGAGGTTATGTATATTCATGATTAATGAAAAGTTATCTTAGGTCATGAAATGTTGCTTCCCTTATACGTAATTAGTAAAAAAAAAAATAACAAC